GTTTATATTATGGTTAAATATAATATATTCTTCCAATACTAGCTCTAAATAATAATTATAATCAATTACATACATATGTACATAAACTACAACTGCCAACACCGCGTTACAAAAACTAATTCCCTTCCAAAGAAGGAGCTAGCGAGAAGACACTCCATAAAAGAAAACTACTCTACTTTTAATGCCATATAATCCAGCAAACTTTGATTCTTAAGCTAATAGCATCAATTTTAATTTTTGTTTTTCCTCTTTTCTGACTTTTGTTTTGAAATATTGATTAAATTCTACAAAAGCGAATTGTAAGAACTTGTCATAATTTTGACGATTATTGCACTGAAAACAAAAACAAAATACACCGTAACTGTTTTATTTTGTTCTCCTACTCTCACCTTTATGTACTCACCTTGGATGTGATGTCAAAAAATCTTTTTCTGTCAATTTAGTATTGAGTGAAACTACCTTCCTTTTTTGTATCATGCTATTTTGTAGAATTGAAGCATAAGAGGGAGACAACCCAACAGTGGTAGGTGCTTTTGTAAGAAATTCTTTATTTAATAAATTATTTCGCTTATCAATGCGTTTAACTAATTCAAGCCGTTTAGGACATTTTGAATAGTTTGTCGGGTGCCTTTCAAATTTTACAATTTTACTAATTGGATTGAAAATGTTACGTATACGCCTCACAACGCTTAAATGTGCAATTACAGTCGAAAATTTGTTATTGAGTTGAACATATCGAAAATGGTAAATGTTGTAAGCAGCCATTTAATCACGTATGTATGTGTATATGGAAATTTATATTAATAAAATATTTAACTAAATTCAAATTTACCGTTTCTTGTCACTATCATTATGTTAATCTTTTGAAAATATATTACATATATACAAGTGGGTGGGACTGGAAATACTAGTTTATGATCGGAAGCTTAAGGCTACCGTTAAACGAATTATTAAAAATAAAAAAATTATTTACTACTTAGCAACCACTGAAACGATTTTTGGCCACAGTTCTCCTTCAAATAGTGGTGTGCGTCCTGATATTTATCCAACACCTGGAGAGACCTACAGTTTGTACTAAGCCACATCCGATCGGGTGATGGATTTTTATCGAGAGACTTTTATTTCATGTCGGAAATACACTTCCAAACCAAACAATTAAACAAATTAATTTTCTATAGTTTTTGATTGTTGGCTGGACCAGAACTCGAACTCTGGCATTTGAACGGTGGTACGCACTGCTAGCCACACTGCTATTAATAAATGTTATTCAAATAAATAAAAATTGGTTTGCATTAGCGGTATTCAATAATTATAACATTTAAAACGCATTGTAGACATATATTTAATATGCCAATAAATAATTTATTGACCTCAAATAAACGTTTTTATCTGTAACAAAAATGACTATACAGTGTATGCTTGTAAATATGTTGCACATAATTATGCATGCATATATTTCTTAAAGTAAAAATGTTTATTAAGTCTAGACTAAAGGCTAAAAAGCAATTATTTAAGAATTTGGTGGTTTTTGAAAATCAAGGCGTTGAGCGGAAACGTTTATATTGACGAGAGTATGTAAACGTAATTTTAATTTGGCACTGTATTACCTGTCGCTAAAAAGAACCGTCCTTGTAGTCCGTCTGATTTTCGACCAATAAGCGTCCTCCCTGTATTGTCTAAAGTTCTTGAGATGCTTTTAGCTAAGCAAATAAACGAATTTATAAGCAAGCTTAACTTAATATCTCCGTTTCAATCAGGCTTCAGGAAAAATCACAGCTGTAGTACTGCGGTACTAAAGATCAGTGGTGATATTCGATCCGACATGGATGAGAATAAATTCACCTTGCTTTGCCTACTTGACTTTTCAAAAGCATTTGATATGGTCAACCATGAGTTATTAAGCTGTAAGTTGAAAGCGTACTTTGGTTTTAGTTGTAGTGCTTTAAAACTTGTGAAAAGCTGCCTTGTTGACAGTTTCAGTTTGTAAAAATTGGGGAAGACACATCGCAACTCAAGCCAGTTACTTCAGGGGTGCCTCAAGGCTCCATCCTTGGTCCCCTGCTTTTCAGCATATTTATTAATGACATCTTCAGTGTGTGCAAATTTTTAAACCTGCATGGTTATGCTGATGACATTCAGTTATATTTATCTGCACCTTTTGATCAAGCTAAAGAGTTATGTAAAAGCATTAATACTGACTTGGCTGATATCTCTAGCTGGGCGGCTGCCAGCGGTCTAATTTTAAATAAAAACAAGTGCTGTGTGCTGCCAATCAGTGCTAGAAAACTGACAAATATGGGTTTTTTGCCCCCAATATTCATAGACAATTGTCCCTTAAAATTAGTCAGCAAGATTAAAAACTTAGGATACATTATTAACCCTAATCTTACATGCACGGATCATGTAAACTCCATAGTAAGTAAGGTCTATCTCATTCTGGGGAATCTTAGGCAGTCAGCTATCTATACACTCACTGCTACCAGACGCAGACTTGCTATACAAATTATTCTTCCGGTCATCATGTACTCTGAAGTCGTATACAGCAAACATGACAGTTTTTCTGCTCGTAAAATTGACGTTATGTTTAATAATGTCACACGGTATGTGTTTGGTCTTTCCAAATATGAGCACATTTCGTCATGGAAAGATCAGATATTAGGATGTACGATTGCGGACTATCATAAAGCCAGAAATTGTATTTTTATTTGCAAACTCATTATGACTCAATCACCTAGTTATCTTTTTTCCAAGTTATCGTTTACTCGGTCAGCCAGAGTAGGTAATATAATAATACCTTTTCATAGATCACAGCAATCATCAAGGCTGTTCTTTGTCAATGCTAGTCGATTATGGAACTCTCTTCCTGCTAATTTAAGGAGGAAATTAAACAGAAGCAATTTCAAGAACCACATATATATGCATTTTAAAGGCCAAATTTCAAACATAGACGGACCATTTAATAATTGTTTAAGTTTTCGTCATACTCAACTCATTATATATTATTATTATTTTTGTTAAGGTACCAGTAAAGTAATATTTACTTACTCTTCACACTATCTCTGTTGTACTAAAAAAGATATGGAATCTTATTGTACTAATGCTTTGTTATTATTATTAAAATAAATAAATAAATAAAATAAATTAGTTTGTTGAGAATATTTTTACATGCAAATGAGAGAAGGAGAAGCTGGAATAATATTTTTTCACTCAAAGTCTCTTAAATAGCATTGGATGGTAAAAATATGCCAGGAAATTAAATATATCTAGCTGTAATTAGTTGGAGTCACTAACTGATTAAATTTATGTTTGAACTGTACACTTTCTTAAAAGTCACAATTTTTGCTTTTGTATTATGCCAATAAATTAATTGTATAGCAAAACGCTTAGTGGCTTGCAACTTTTTTCATATAGTTAAATAAAAAATTTCTGGATATTGGAAAGATTAAAATGGAAAGTAAATCACAAAATTACAACTAAAATAGTAAAGAAAAACTAATTTAATCGAAATCTACTGTGGTAGGATTAAAAAAAATGCCTCATAATAATTTAATATATAATACCGACTTTGAAAATCAATGCAGTGCATAGTACGGACACTTTCAATAATTTATTATACTCTGACGGGATTTTTAGGTAATTTTTTTTTTCTGGAATATGAACATGTCTGATTTAGATTTCGTCGTGTATTATGTCTTTGGGGATTTCGTATTTTCTTATCGGGATTTAAAATTACATAAAAAAGTAAGAATCTGTTTTTGTTTTTAATTTTTAAAATTAATTAATGTAAACAAATTTGAGACATCGATTTCGAAAAAATTTCCAAGCCAGCACACAAAATTATAAGAATGGGTTTCGGCCATATCGAGGTATTTATACCCTTAATGACCATATTAAATTTATGGTATTTCATTTTTGTATTAAATATAAATTTTCATAAAAATTATTTGGAGGTGGCTTTTTGACGAAGTTTACCGATTTCGATGAACTTCGTGTCAAAGCTTATTAGTATGTACAATAGATGTGTTTTACCAATTTTTTTTTTTTCGAAAAATCGGTCCCGAAAGCTAACGGACTGACAAACAAATCTGATCGAATATGCCTATATGAGCCCTCTCATTCTTCTCCTTCTGATACTTATGTACCTACTTCGAATCAAAATTAATATATTGTACAATCTATTGTTCATGAAAGGTATCGAAATGTAGTAATAATGGCTCGAAATTTCATATAAAAATTTTTTGTCTTAAAATATGCAGAGTTTATGTATACATTCAAAACTCAGTCGCAAAAAAATATTTTCCTACGAATTTTCGCCTTCCGTTAAACAAGCATCACTGAATAAGGACTCAAAAAATTTTCTAGTTCCCTATAAGTGAGAGGCTATAACCTTATATGCACCAAGAAACCTAAGGTTAAATCTTTTTTCAAGTCACAAAGCACTACTCCCCGGCGAGTGGATAATCATTTCTTCTACAATAAATATTTCTGTGTGTTGCTTTGGGTGTGACGAGGACCGAGAATGAACTACTGCTACATGGTAAACAGAGGTTGCAAGCCATTAATTTCACTAATCCAAGACAAATAATATATTACATTGTGTGACATTTTTACGTTTTGCCCTTCCTAATATTAAAATGAGATTTATTAACCATTTTTAATAATTAAAAAATATATAATATTATTTTTAAAAAAACATATTCATTACATTTTCTAGTTTTTTTTTAGCTTTTTTCTTTATTTGTAATTTTTAAATTTATTTTTTTAAATAATTATTGCACTATTACTATTAAATTTTTATTTATTGCCACTTTTAGTAAATACATATTTACTTTTCATCACCACTTCAAGCACTAAATATATCATAAAAAACAAATATCTCTGACAGTTTTTCCGATGTGTAGGGACGAAATTGTTATTATTTCTATAAAGTCAATAATTCCAATTAGAAATTAATTTACCTATATTTACTAATATAATTTAACTATTTAAAATTTACATACTTTTTAAGTGTTATATCCACTGGATGCTGATTTACTTCAAACACTTGTTGTAATTTTTCCTTTTAAAATGCCAACAGTATTCCCCGATAAGGTTTGCACACTTTCACAATACACTTTATCAACTCACTCGTTCAACGGTTTCTTATTTGCACAAAAATTACTGTTATTGCGAAATTGCACTTGTTAAAATTTCCACACTTGGTTTGCTCTTGGAGTTTTTCCCAATAGTTTTTCCGAACGTAACAAAGTCAGCGGCGCACAAATACTAATCAGAACATTGAACGCGACTCAACTTTTATATGCGCCAAACGACGAGCGACGACAACGGTCACAGCAGACACAGGCACATAAACACCGCATAGAATGCACAAGAGTCGTCGTTAATTGTGAGCCAGCCAGTAGTCAGTCAGGCAGCAAGCAGCAGTCAGGCAGCAAGCAGCAGGCAGCAGCAAACAGCAGTAAACAGCCAACAGCCGTACATATCGACAATAATTAACTGCAGCCAAACCAGCAGCAACAACAAAACTATAACAGTATGTAGTAACAGCACCAGCAGCAGCACCATCCAAAGGCATTTTATGAGGATGAAGAATGGATCGGTGAACAACATTAAACACAGCAGTAACAGCAACGGCGACATCAACGCAACCGCCAATTTGTTTGTCGTGAGTGTTTCTGTAGTGGTAAGCGAGAATCGGAAAGAAAAACAAACGAACTCACCAACCAGACGAATCGCCAAACCAAAAAAAAAGATGTTGATTGCTGCTATTGCGTCGGCCTTTGCTGGTCGGAGCAAAATTGACGGTAAGCACTTGCTGAGAGCACAACTATCAGTTGAAGCCGCGCATGATGCGAAGCAACGAATTTAAGTTTGAATTTTTATATTCAAGCGCACATTTCCGTTTAAGGTACAAAAAGTTAGTTCGGATCATTAGGCTAAAATAGCGATGAATTTTTCTATAATCTCTGCCTTTGGTTAGGCTAGGGTTTCAACACAAGATATCCTCATGGAAATAATGTCCAGCCTACAATCACTGTGTGCGATACTATGCAAAGACTCCTGGGCTCGGATCGTAGTCAGACTATCAACCAAAATAATAGAAAAACGTTTACTACTCTCTCGTCGTTCTCAGTAGAGAACGTTAAACTGTCGAAATTTCTTTTTGCGTTTATAAATGGAATTTAAAATTGGACAAAGGTTACAATTATTTTATTTAATAACTTTGAATAACTTTCAAATAAAAGCCATATTAAGTTGGTGACCAATTGGTAATTTAGCAAAGACCAGCAACCTACAAAACGTAGGTTGTTCCCACAGATGCAGGCTCAATTCTCTTCTATATGGTTGGCTCGAAACTAGACACAGGGTTGGCAGTGGAGTCTACTCAAAGGAACTTGGGATCAGTGGGTCCTTTCGGCTACGGGAGGCTGTCAATTGTCTAAGTCGAACGGTACTCTCAGTGAGTTGTATCTTTATTTTCTCAGATAAGCAGGCGACCCTCAGAGCCCTACAATCTATCACAATAAAATTATTAACGGCAGAGTATTGATGGCTAAGCAGTTCTTTTTGAATTTGGTTTATTTACCAGGACACAGTAACTTACCGGGTAACGATATGGTGAAGGAGCTTCCTGCCACTTTCGCCACTCCTGCCATGGTATAAAGGAGAGCTAGAGAGCTTATCTTCTATTAGGTAAACACACAGAGAGGCTGGGCGTATCATCAAATGACTTTTGTAATAGTTGTAGAGCCGGAAACCGTAAGCTATATCCTTGGCGTATGTTGCGCACTCAGGATGAACGTGCTGCAGTTTCTAGCGGGGCCAACCTTTAGATTATAAATATATAATTGGCGCTGCAGCGATTTTCAGCCGTACTCATTCTTCAATTTGTTGTTTTGCGTCTTGATGTTTTTTTTTATGGAAGGCTTTATTTCATGTCAGAAATACACTCGGTGGGGTTGACATTCCCTGCAGAGGGGCGACCGCAAATAGAAAATTTAACTTCATTTATAATTTAAATTAATTTTCTATAAGTTTTCGAAAATAGTACGACACCAGGATTTGAACCCGAGCCTTCCGAATGGCAGTACGTAATGCTAACCACTCGGTTACCGCGCCCGTCGACCTGAAATACCTGAGTAAAATTGCAGCTGATGCCAAGCAGCAACTTTAACCGAACCAAACTTTACTTAACCACCTAAAGAAAGTAGAATCATTCGGAGTATTTTTTAAATCTTTTATAATAAAATAAATATTTGTTTTTAAAAATTTCCATTGAAACAATTACCACTTTGTGGTACATTGTTTTATGTTTCAACCGAATCAGCACCTTCCTTACTGACTTGTGTTTAGTTTTGCTTCGAATTGTTCTTTTTCACTCTCACATTCAATTGCTTGGAACAAGATAAGTTCGTGTGTTTACAAGCACTTCTGCGCTGTGTTTCGTTGTTGTTGTTATTGCTGCTGTTAATGATGCTTGGCCCAGCGCCTCGGCATCGAATAATAAAAAATGAATTTCCTCTGTCACTGCTGTAGCAGCAGTGCTGATCGCCTCCTGTTTAGGAGACGGACGCTTACTCAATCTGTGACGTAAATTTATGTATGTAAGCAATGCAAGAAGGAAGGTATGTACGAGTACATATCGTACACCCTAATAAATATATATGCTTACATATTATTTCAAACTCGGCTGGTGAGTAAATCAGCATGAGAAGCTGCTGAACAAAGCAGGTTTATTTTGAGCTACCGAAATACTCTCGTACAAGATCGACAAACGATTTGAAAGCTCTGGGGTTAAGCAAGTGAAGTGTGGAGTTAAGTGTGCATGCCGATGGTGGTATTGACGAGTTCAAAAGGGGGCATGTTCATATTCCCAGTGTGTGCACCGTAACACAGTTCAAGTTTGTTTGGGATGTGATTAAACAGGAAGAGTATAATGCACATTGAACAAATCGGCCGAAATGTCTATAGCACACTTTTAAATTACTGGTTTTGTTGTTAATTTGTGACTCGTTCGCAAGCCCAGAAGTTAAAGGTGCGATAAAAATAACAGTTCACGCTAATACGTATGATTGTTCGAATAATAATTTCCGATCAAGTACATACATATGTATGTACCATTTTTCTTCGACCTCAAAAGAGAGGCTTGTGTGTATGACGATTACTGAGCACGTGCGACGATCATACATATATACCCACAAATACTTCTATAAGCACTAACATGCAATGGTTCATTTGTCTGTTCATATGTACATACATGCAAACAGCTATTGCTACCAAAGTAAAAGGGAATTCGAGCGAATTTATTCAATACGAGCATTGTCATTATTGCTGTTGCAATATGTGCAAAAACATTGGAAATCCCTACAATATTCTTAGCAAATCTATTTGATAGTGAACAACATCATACATATGGCACATATGTACACACATATACCAATTTGTAGCAATCAAATAAAAAACCACACAAAAGCGCCGGGGATTCGATTTATAGAACTACAAGTGAGATGACGCATATTTTCCCATTAACCCTATTGATACACTTGTATGTATGGGCATAAGTCAGATTGTCGACTATTATTCTTAATTATATGTATTACACAATAATCATATGCAAATTATTCTATTACGCCTCCTAATAACTTGAATTAGTTAAATGATCTTTTTAAATGTGAACCGTATTATTAAACGAAGTTTTTACAGCTTCCCACCTCTGCGTCCATAACCGATGCCAATATGTAGCGAAAATTAAACACAAAATCCACAAAAGTTTTCTTACGAAAACCACCAACGACGATTCATCACAAACTTTCACCGTAAAGTAAGATCGAAATGATGTTGAGTTTGGTCTTTTTTCGTCTAGAGAAGACTTTATTTTTCGTTTGCCTTCTCCGTCTAAAGTAGGTAACTGTTGGTAAGAGTGTCTCTGCGTTGTATTTCAAGACTCGCATTGTTGTTGGTGTAAATGCTAACAACCTAGATAGTCGAAATTACGTACGATCTCGAAGTTATAATTGTCAACCGTCGCGTAGGAGCCTAAGTGCAAATGGGTGCTGATTGTTTGTTTGATGACAGGAGATATTTTGTCTTATGCCTTATCCTAATTCACTACCAGACCCATTCGGACCGATATTTTTTTTCAACGTAGATAAAACAGAGCTAAGAGCTATCATTTGTTTATTTATGTAATAGAATGCGCATTGTCTTTTTAGCTTTTTTTATATATATATTTTTTTTTATATATAATTTGCGCTTTGTAACCGCTATGCGATTTTCGGTCAAGGTCCTCCTCCAATATGTGGTTTTGCGTTGTGATATTTTTCCAACAAATGGAGGGATCTACAAGTTCATTCTAAGCCGCCTCCGAACGGCTGATGGTTTCTTATGAGGTGTTAACATTCCCTGCCGAGGGGCGACCACAATTAGATAATTTTGCTTAATTTTTTATAAAGCTTTGGTTGTTAGTACAACACCAGGACTGGAACACTGGTCTTCCGAATGGCAGTATGCAATGCTAACCACATTCCCTACCGTGGCCGCCAAACTTATTATTTTCATTAAATTGAAGATATCACACAATAAATAGTGTCTGAAACCTCATTTGGGGGACAACGTCAAGGAGAAATCTTTTCAGATACTGACGGACTTTCCCAAAAATTTCACGAATGGTGAATATCTAATCCCGAACCATATTCTTTAACAGCATACGCAAGATTAGACCTTGTAAGCGATAAGGCGGTGGCTTATCTAACGTAATAAGCGCAGAGTGTGGTGTATCACTTTTTATGAATATGGCGGAACCAACCCTAATTTTTATTATTTATTATTTTGTCAAGGCATTCCTTCAAAGCATACTCGATTTGTAGCTCGATGAATTATTCTATGCCAGAACCTGGTATATACATACCTGGTATACCATATCTCGGGCTGTTTCGTCATGGAGTCTGAATTTTTCGAGGTTCATGCCCTCAAATTATAATATTTTGTACGTTTGGAAGGGTAACCGGTTTTGGTTTGGTGGAGAAAATATTAAAAAAGGTATATATTCACTTTTGTTGACTGCAGGGAATTTTGTTTTCATTAACTTCGAGTTGAGTAATCGGAATAGTTTTGTATAGATTGATATTTACGTTTATATTTGCAAAAAAAAATTTCTAATTCAAAAGCCTGTATGTTATTACATATTTAAATAAGAACGAGTATCGATTATGACGGAGTGGCTCTAGTAAACTGTCCCTCTTTTAGCCAAGATCCAAGGCTGGATACCGCTACTTCCACTTT